CCTGGCTGGTTTGCAGCATGTTGCCGTCTCCCTGGAGCGTCGTTCTAGGACTCCTGGAAGAGGAATGTTGTGGGTTTCCCATTCCCGTTCAGTAGAGTCGGAGGAAGCCTTTCCCAAGGCAGATGTGGTTCCATCGGAACGTCGCCTGGTTTCTGGGAATGGTGAGGAGTTTCATGCTGTAGCAAAGACGCAGCTGCTGGTTTAGATCACTGGACACATGGCTTCAGTTTAGAGGACAGCCAGCAGTGAGAACAGTGGAAACATTGTGACTGTGGAACAACTCCCAGGCCAAAGTATTAGCAGCCCTGCAGTCGAACGAGGCCTCTCAGAGGCTGGACTGAGGTGCAGGAGAAGGACCTCCTTCACCAACCTGAGCCAGAACAAGCCTCAGCTCTCAGGCCCGTTGAAAGCAGGTGGACTCTGCAGTGTGGTGGACGCTGACAAGCCATCACCTACATCAAAGCCTGTAAGACTGGATGTGATTAGGGAGACACGTTTTTCAAAGCTATGCCAAATCCTTCTTGAGGATTGTTATTATGTGGGGGGTGGTCCTAATAATCTGGCCAGGAAGCGTATGAATGGAGGTTGAAAACATCTAGACTTGAAAATGAGCTGTACTGAAATGTGACTAAGAGGCTCTTCAAAAACTCAGTATATGGCAGTGGTCCTGGAGGAACACAGTTTTTGGCTGATTGATGACTTAATTGATCTGCTTGCTTGTTTAGACAACATCTGCTCAGCTTGTTTGATTAGTTAGTCCTGAGTGCCAAAACTACCCAACATCAAGGGCAGTGTTTACAACAACTCCAGCACACAGAACCTCACACAGCCTCTCCTCAACTTGGTCAAGTGTCTGTTACTTCTGGCAACCCTTACTAGTTGATCAATTAATGTGAACAGACACAAATAGGAGAGTTTCTATATCAGACACACCCACAACGGGAGTGATGGTATCAGACACACCCACAACATGAGTGACACTGTATCAGACACACCTGCAGTGACTGTCTAGTCTTTCTGCAGGTCTAATTGGTTATATTTCAGGCAGCACACCTAAATAAGGGCAGTTATGAGACTCAGAAATTGTTACAAGGTTACAAAGTTGATAACTAATTACAATTCCCATTTGGCCTGGTAAGAGCTGGAAGCAAATTTACATGGACGCTCCAAACCGAAAGACTAAAATCAATTAACCTGTAATTAAGCATTCAGCTGGAGACACACTGTTCCTCCAGCTTCAGGGCTGGGAACCTATGGTATGCAGCACTTCTTTGTCCACTCCTGGTCTCAGAGGGCTGCAGTCCTCCAGGTTCCTTAAGTAACATAGCTGTCAGTGAGGAGAGACCTGGAAACCGTGGTACAACTGGAAGACAGGACAATCTTCCAGCACCAGGAGTGCTTTATGGTCTTTTCCTACGAACTTCCATTCGATACTATTCTATCCTACTGTCCTATTCTCCTCCCCACATGTCCGGCTGGCGCCTGGGCTGGGAACCATCTGAGTTTGATGCTGCATCTCTCCCATGGATCCAAGATGGACATTGTGGATAGAGCTATCGTTCAGGAGGATTTTGCTGGTCTACAGAGATCTGCATGGAGTACTGACATACAGAAGACATGATGGATGGATTAATACCTTTATTCATTTACTCCTTTTTTAATCGTATAATGTTAGCATGCCCAGTGGGGTTGAGCAGCCAGTTGACCTTGGACCTCTAGAGGTTTTTTCTCTCCTTACTAAGGAGTTTTTGGTTCCTCTCCTCCGTTGTCTTCTGGTCTTTTCTGTTCCGTATTCACAACATGTATGGTCACATGCTTTGTTAAGTGCTTTGGGGGGCAACCTTGTTCTGAAAGGCGCTTTATAAAAATAAATTGAATTGAATTGAATTGATACACTTCCCTCATCCCTTAAAGGGAAACTGCCATCTCAATTTCTCAGACTGGTCATTAAATCTAGGTAACAAAATAAATTAATTGACGGTTTGCAAAAACTTTAAAAATTTCGAATGCAAAACGGGGAACTTTGTGAAAGTACTGTATGGTTGCCTAATTTTAAAAAACCGCTGGTTTGACCATGGGTGAGAGCTGAGAGCAAGAGTTTGTGCATATTGTGATGTGAAAACAGCCCTTCCTGCTCACAAGTCACTGTAAGCAAATAAGAAATGTGACCACATTGTCTTATTCTCCCGACGTTTGTCCTTGTTTTGTATTTTTGAACTCTCGTATATATTTTAAACAATGCCTCACTGTGAAGCATTTGGGAGGACAGAGCACAGGGGTCGCATACAAAACAGAGGATCAGATCTGCAGGAAGTCAAACTGTCTCCTTTTCCAAAGGATATTCAACCAGCCAAGAAATGGGTAATAAACATGGGCCCTGATTTTGGTCCCATTGACAAGTTTCTCATCGAGATGCACTGTGATGTATGATCAAATAAGTTAAGGGTTGTGCAGCAGACATTTCATCCCAGAAATGTTCTGACGTGATCTGCTCGCTGAGCTGACAAGTAGTATGTGTCTGCAAAAACATCTTAAAGTTGATACATGTATGTTGAATTGAATTCAGTTGAACTCATTCAAGTCAGCTATTCAGGGCTTTGGAGCAGCATGTCCTCCAAAAATATAGGCCCTGCTAGAATTTTTCTTTTAGGTGTGATTCACCATAAAATAATCATCAATGTTAAGGACAGAGCACTTTCGCAAAACTTCAAAATGAATATGAGTGTATTTTGGTTGGCAGGTTGCTCTTTTTTATAATACTTAAAGTATCTAAAAACCATGACTCCTTGTACGTGTCTTTTTCATGAAAATATTTAAAATGGATTTTAAATATTTAAAATGGAAACGGTAGCAAAATTCACTTGGTCTGACGCATGTTTATGATGTAAAAGGGCCTCTTTTGCATCATCGGAAGTTTTGTTGCCTCATTCTGATTCACAGACACTGACGGCGATATGGCTCCATGCATCCAAGGTCATACACTCCTGGTGTAACACTGCTACCCTAAACCAACTTGTTTGAAGATGAAGTGCTGCTGTCTGTTCAGGTCTGAGATGTCTTCGTGTCCGAGTTTCTATATCTCCTCTTAGTGTTAAGTGTTGCGTCTTCTATCAGTTGACCATATATTGTGGAGCAGCTCTCATTTAGAGTGCAAACTCTCATTTACAACAATGCCCTGGAGGGTATTTATTTATACAACAGGGAATTAACTGGAGAAGTGTCTTTCTTGGGGCTACAACAGCAGTGCCCCAGCTGTATTCGAACCCCTGACATCTACTCCACACTGCTGCCCTGGGCTGGACTGCAACCCCAGTCCAAGCTCATCAGAGGCGGAGGAGGTGTTGAGCTTGGACAAGGATAATCAAACTCTGGAACTCAAGCAAGATTCCTGGGACAGCCCAGGGATGGCCTCACCATAAAGAGAATCCACAAAAGATGAAGATGAAGTCATATGTGTGGGTGTGAGCGCTGGTTAAAAGTGAGAAACCAGGCTTCCCCATTCTTTCATCAGGTGTGTGTAAGAACCTCACCGGTACCTGTGTGTCTAAGGATCTGCGCCTGTGGCTGGAAGGTTGCTGGCTCAAATCCTGCGGCCGGCAGAGGAATCCTACTCCGTTGGGTCCCTGAGCAAGGCCCCTCACCCCAACTGCTCCAGGGGCGCCGTACAATGGCTGACCCTGCACTCTGACCCCTAGCTTCTCTCCCTGTCTGTGTGTCTGTGTGTCTCATGGAGAAAAAGCTGTGGTATGTGAAAAGACAATTCCTAATGCAAGAAATTGTGAAGGGTTAATAAAGTGATGTTATTATTATTATTTTAAAGGAACATAAGAAACAAACCACAAGCCTTCTGCATGGATTCCCTTTATTTTTACTGTGCTAGTTATTGCAATCAGGTTAATTCACATTTAGAAAGCAGACACCATCCAGTTGCACTGAAATCGATGATATTCATTTTACAATAACCACTTGTCCGGTGAACTGGAAAATCCAATCGAAAAGCATTAGTTTTGACTTTTTTCTGTTTTTTTTTTATTAATTTTATCTTTGTAATTACAAAAAAAATATAATAATAAAAAGAAAATTTCGGAAATATTACGATTGGCAAGCAATCACATCACAGCACAAGTAACGGCAAGTAAAAGCAAAATAAAAAAAACACCAAAAGAGGAGAATTTCCAAATGAAACCCAAAAAAAAGAACAGCTGAAGAAAACTGGCACCTATCGATATGACACAAGGAGTAACAGAGGACAGGAGCAGCAACGCAGGTCTCTCTACACACTAGGAATCAGAGGCACAAGCTTGTTTTTTTCATTTTTCCTTTCTGTTGATCAAAAATGCACTACTTGGAAGCAGGACAATAAAAAATACTTATAGCAGGACATTAAAAAATACTGAACGTAGAATACCTTTTTTTTATTTCTCTCTCTCTCTCTTTTGTAATATCTCCCATTAATATTCATTTCCAGCTACTCATAATAGCAGCGCCTCGTGGCCAAATCATTTGGAGTTTTACATCTGGGTTGCAAATGACACTTTGATTGGACGTCGTGTTCAAATGGTCCACCCCACTGCGTGCCCGGCCAGGCCCGGCCAGAGCTGGCGTCCCGCCGCGTCCCCTCACTGGGCGTGCTGACTCAGCGTGTGGTTCTGGAGAGGGGAGAGAAGAGGAGACATGAGGAGAGTCATAACGAGCCGGACGAGCCCCCCCCCTCCGGCCCGGCTGGCCTGCTATTACAGCGCGTCGGCTCTGACGCACGCAGCGCGCCGCCACCGGCACCGGCAGCGCTGTGCGGGACCCGGGCTCGACCCAGGCGCGACCACAAGCTTCATTTTCCGCAAACCCCAGCACCAACATACGTGACCCTCAGTATTCCTAGGTTCTAGGTCCAAGGCTTCCTAAACAACCCCCCCTTAAGGATCCCATTTCGCATTCATGGCAGTCAAACGGACCCCAGGTCGCTGGAACAGAAACGGGTGTCGGACCGCTGAACCGGCCGAGCCCCGCGCAGGGCTGGAGAGTTAATTAACATGTTGGCTCCCTCAACAATTGTGGCTTCTAAGATTTTTATTTTCCACAAAGATTCTTTATGCGTTATTTTGGCTCAAATCCCGAATGCCCGTCGAGATAATGATAATGGCTGTAATAATAAGTAAAAAATAAATGCTTCTTTTTAAAAATCTGTTCTGAATGAATAATCCCTTATTGAGTTCCGTTTCAAGCACCACAAAATTCGCTGAGGATTAAACATGTTGTTTCGTTGATAAATATTTCTCTTCTCGCCTTATCTAAACGCACATATTTACATGATTGTTGGCAGCATCGTTGCAGTCAAAGCCAATTGTTCGTTTCTGTGCCCAGACTGAGATCTTCCAGCCTAGCAGTATTTTTCTCTAACAGATCTGTGCAAAGACATGCATCTAGAGAGCACTCCAGTGATGTACCTAATCTCTTAGGGAGCCACTGACCCCATTAACAGAACAATTCTCTTCCCCTTCCACAGAGGGTGCAGTGCCGCCTTCGGCCAGCAGAGGTCACACTTGCTTCTTCGTGTCGCGAATGAATCTACGGTTCAGAGTGAGATTCACTCTGACAGGCTAGTTCAACGCTGGAAACACTGCTGCTACATTTGTATCAACACAAATCCAGAAAAGGGGGACTTGATATGCAAAAATGCAGCCTTTGTGTTTTATCTACACCATCTTCTTTTGTCTTTTTGAAAGAGAACGCAGATGGAATGTAAACTTCTCCTGCCTTTCTGGGTTCATGGGGGCTCTGCTTGTGAAGTATTGATTGCTTTAGGAAACTGATTGTGAAGCAGTATTCCCAGGCTGCAGGAGTGATACTGCAGTGCTTGACACAGGACGCCCAGAAAACACTGGACACAAAAGCAAATGGGTCATTGAAAAAAAAGTTTCTAATAGTCATTTTAACTAAGCCATTAGTCTGACATTTTATCTTTTTTTTGCGCAGAAGTCCCTTCTCAGAGCCTTTCAGAAAGCACCCATCACATGAGTCGCATGGGAGGCGCCAGTGTGATAAAGAGGGGTCAACGTGAGCAGAAATAATGGCACACAGCTGACAGCTTGTGACTACGGCCCTTCGCAGTCGTCGACAAAAATTGGTTACGCACAAATGGTTAACACAAATCAATTCCATTTCTGAAGGGAAGGAAAATTTCTCCTGCTGTCGTCCACCAGGAGTCAAGACAGCTCTTGAAGCTGGCCAGCAGGACACATGGAACTATTGACCAGATACCCTCAAACATTCTGGATCCTGGTCAATGTCTATCTGCCTTAGCCTGACTGTAAACACTAGACCACGCCACGCGGAGCCAATACCCTCTTGCCGACAGCGAGGTTCAAGGTTCCACAGTGAAATTATTCAAATGTCTTAAGCTGCCAGCTCACGTTTGGGCTGTAGACAAAGGAGGGGTATGTTTACATTTTAACACTCTCTCAGAACTGGGAAGTCTGTCCAGAGACGTGCAGAACAGGCCTTTCACTGAGAAACTGCCCGTCACCCCACACTGCAACACGTCACAGAAACAGCCGCACGCGCCGAACCTACAAGCGCGCGCACACAAACACACACGCACGCACGCACACTCGCAGGCGTGCAGCGCAGAGACGCACAGGTTCCTGTCAGGTCTGTTCATCTTAGTGCGTTGTGCTTGCAGCATCGATTAGCCCTCGCAGATCAATACCTCGACTGGTATGTGGCTCTGAATCTGATAATGACTCTCTCAATGTGACACCTCCCCTACACCGGTGTAATTGATATATTCTCCACGCCTAAAAGGAAAACGAATTACATTTTCTGTTGAACAAGCGCATCACGAATCCTCTGTTTAAGCCGAGAGGGTTGTTTGTGCATGCCAGCTGAGGGAACAGGAACCACTCATGATTCTAATCTTTTTTTAGAAAAAACAGATGTAGACATTATGGGGCAGCTAGGCTTGACTTAGTCTCTCATGACCTCACCAGACCTTTCTGTTCATCAGACACCCATCAGCACTGACCAGGACTTAATAAGCAAGCGTCACGATGGCGGACCCCCTGATGTCCAGCAGGGCTACAGTAATTCATCTAGATTAAAACCAAACCCCAGACCTGACTTAAATGAAGGGGTCCTTTTATCTCTAATGGTCACTTATCTGATGCCAAGATTACACAAAGTGTCATTTATAGCCACAGTGGTATCGTCACGGTCTAAGCCTGCAGAACAGAAAGCATGGAGAGCAGATCTGCAAGAGACTGGGACCAGCGTCCCTCTCAGCCACAGGGCAGGGGGAGGCTGCTGGGAGAGGGCAGCAGCCTTGATTGAATTCTCTCCCGCAGATGAGCACAGCTCGCTCACTCTGGGCGAAACCTGGCGTTGTTTTCTTAAACTGGGAAGAAAACCAGGCGCCAGAAAGAAGGCTAAGTCCTTGCTTGGGGGAAAATTCCCCACTTGCATTCAAGACGCAGAGAATCGGAGACGCAAACAGAAGAAGAAATCTCAAATCTGCGTCGGAACAGCCTTTCCCAGGTAATGTCTGGGAAGGCTGTGCGCTGCCATGATGTCGGTCCCAGCCCAGCGTCCGAGCAGAGAGCGTGGCTCCAGCCTCCCGGCGTCCAGGAGATCTCTCAAGAGCGGGCCGACAGAGGTCCCGCAAGCTCTCCCTCCCCAGCACCTGCGACTTCCGGCTCGTCCTCTGCCCCCCCCTCTCGGGGGTCCAGCTGGGCCGGACTTGGCGCGGAGGACAGGAAGAGCCAGCGCAGGAGACGCTGAGGGCCGCGCGCAGGAGCTGGCCCCCCTTCCCGCGGCGCGATATGAAGAATCACCTTTGCCGCCTGATGCACTCGGTGAGGGATTATTTTTAGAATGCTGACAGTCTTCCAAGGGTCTGAGACTAACAGATGGGCTGTCTTAAAGCCTCACACGCTCACCGGTTCTCACTCCTGAAAGACAGGAAACTCGCTCGGGAGTCGGTTACGAGCACACCCCCCCCCACCCACGCCACCCCCACACTCCTGCACGCTGGCGCTGGCCTGCCCGGCCCACTGTGGCGCTGGCGGTCAGACCGCGGGCAGGGCGGGCAGCCCAGCGGGCGCAGGGGGCGGACAGGAAGCCCGAGAGGAGAGCCCTGGCAGTGTCCTTCAGCGAGACCCGCCTCATCGCCCACTCTCTGCCCCCCACGCCAGCCCCTCTCGCGCTCGCTCAGCGCACAAACAACAACAAAAACAGGCAGGCTGAGGTGCGATGAAGGCTAATGAGCAGCTTTTAAAACAAACCACTACAGAAGTCACGGGTGCCCTCATCCCCCACAGAAGCCATTCTCTGCTCTTGCTGCCTTCCCCCCGGACATGAAGGGGCTTCTCGGACAAACGGATCGGCAATAAAAAATAAATAACCATGATGATAAAAACAGCGCAGTGGCACTGTGGGTTGGAGAGCGACTGCGTGATTGCTAGCGCCTATTGCTGTTGGCTTGTGAGTGAAGTGCAGCTGTATTGGTATAATGGGGTAATAATCCTGGGAACTGCACTGAGGCAGTAATGGGCACGGGCAGACTGTGCAGCTGCAGGGCTCCAGCGCCGTGTCGGTACACAGAGCGTACCCCCTCCGCTCAGGCAGGTGTCCGTTCCTGGGCTCTCAGTGACCTGATCGAACACCTCCCTGGCTTCGCTGGTCGGCTGTAGTTGCCTGAAAGCTCTCAGGCAGACACGAAACAGGAAGTAAAACGGAGCCCCATGGGGATTGAGGTCAGGCCAGAGACCCCCGGCCACGGGCTGGGGCCTCCGCATTGCCTCACTTAGTGAGGAAGACACTGTTCCCACTGCACCAGCTCCTGCGCCTTTAAAAGCGTGCTTGTGCAGCGCAGTGATTTTACCAGATCAATACTGCAGATTCTACCTGAGATGGCATGAGCTGGGACGCCGCAGCTAATTAATATAGCAGATTTGCTGTTCATCGATCACTTTCCCATCTCCAGTAATGACTTTCTCGTGATTGACTGGCGCGTCTCGTGGGGCCGCGCGCCTCCCGCCGTGCCCTTTGCCGTTCCGGAATCCTCCGCGCGCAGCCGCGGCGCCCGCTCGGATCCCGGAGACGCGGCGGCCTCCTGCAGCCAGACGGACAGGAGAGGCACCGAGGACCGGCCTGCGGACGGCTGATTAAAACACCTCGGGTCCCCTCGGCCTCCCAGAGCAGCACAGCGCAGCCCCGCACCGCAAAGGCAGCTGTCCGGAGGAGGGAAAGGGGAATCCGTATGCAATATCGGAGGAGCCGTCCTCAGCCAGGGCCCGATCTGGAGTGAGGGAACAGGCCGAAGGTGCACAGTCTGGCCGACGATGCACAGCCTGAATAAAGTGTCGTTTTCACAAATCGTGAAAAAACACGAGGCCACAACACAGGAAACGAGAGGAGGCCACCTCCTGCTCATCTGACTGCTTCTCAGCTGGTGGATGTACTATATAAACCGTTAACAGCACCTCGGAAATGGAAAATAGGCTGGAAGCTCACAAAGGCTTACACTGCATCAGAAATCTATATAGAAGAGCAGGATGATCATATGTATGTAGCCACACATGCAGGTGGTGCACATATTGCAGCTGGTGAATAAGAGATGTCGAATTAGCACAAATCTAGCTCGTACTATAAGGCA